TTATGCAAATGAGGTCCTGATTTGAATAAATTATGTTTAATGATGTTCACCTCAATTTAACTTTCAAATACCACAAGTATGAAATTCCAGGCAGTTATCATTACATAATTTTAAAATTTCTCATTAATTATGCAAATTAAGTCATTATTAACATAATCAATATCTTCCTGTGTTTCTCTCGTTGTCAATTACCAATGTCACAAGCTTCAATTGTCCTATCATGGAATACAGCTGATTTATAGAATTTCCCCATTAATTATGCAAATTACATCCATATTTGCATAATTGTCACATAATTATATTAAGCATCACGTAAGCTACCTACATACCGAAAATTACGACGATCCGTCAACTGGTTCTTGAGTTGAATATTTTCAAGAATATATCCCTGCAGTTCCAGAGCAAGCCGCTAGGGGACCCAAACTCACGTCACTTCTTCCCCATCACAAGAGCTATCTACCATCCAAATTTCATCACCATAGCATGTCTAGATCAAGAGATATCAAAACCGGAAGTTCAGCTGCAGTACCATAACAAGCCGCTAGGGGATCCAAAATCTAATCATTTTGAGGTCTCATCAAGACCTACCCACCTACCAAGTATCAAGACAATCCATCAAGGCCTTCTCAAGTTATCGTGTTTACAGACACACACACACACACACACACACACACACACACACACACACACACACATACACGAACGCCCCTGAAAACATAACCTTCTTGGCGAAGGTAATTAACAGTAACTATGTGTTTATGTAATGTTATTCAGACATGACAAATACCTGACAATGCTATCATGAGGTATGGAAGTATAGTTTTAGGTGGCTGATCACGAGATGTGGGTATGTGTACATACGAGGGTGGATCAAAAAGTTCTCGGCCTCACCTAGAAAAGAAAGGTCAAACTCCTATTCTTTAGTATAACTGTATACTATGACGTCTTACATCACTGCACTCAAAAATTCAAATTTTTATATTCATTAATTAGCACGTGACGCCCCGTGAAAATGGGGCGGGTGAGGGCAAAATCACAAAATGGCCGCAACAGAAGCGTGTGCTGTGATCAAGTGTATCGATAAAAAGGGATGTCTCGTAAGGAAATCCATGAACACATGATCAGGACACTTGGTGATGACTCTCCTTCTTATTTAACTATAAAGAAGTGGGTTGCTAGCTACAAGCACTTCAAGGTGAGCACCAAAGATGAACATATGTCAGGATGCCACAAATCAGCACCATGGACATTCCAGTTAAGGCCATCCATCACATGATATAGTAAATGGCAGATGTGAGACTGTCCAACATGTAGCAGAGTCTTTAGCCTGTGTTGTGGCTCTGTTCACAATGTTTTGTCAGACATCCTGGGGATGAGCAACCTGTCTGTAAGGTGGGTGCCTAGAATGTTTTCTGAACATCAGAAGTTAAACAAGCTGGACATTTCAAATAACGAATTCAGTCCAATCCATGCAAATACCTCAAAACATTTTTCACCCAAGATGAGACATGGGTTCACCACTTTCACCCCAAATCAAAACAACAGAACAAACAATGAATAAAGAATGTTTCCCGGCCCCCCAAGAAGTTTTATCGAGTTTCATCCGTTGACAGGGGTTTTGTCACTGTTTTCTGGGACAGCAAGGAATTCGAAGTAAGCATGATTGACTACATGCGAATAGGTTAAAGCATCAATGGGGAGTACTATTTAACAGAATAGCAACGTTACAGTTGAGGACAACGATCAAAGAGATAATGAGAGGAAAGCACCGAGCTGGCGTGCTGACAATGCACCTGTCCACACAGCACAGGGGTCAGTGACAGCAGCAAACGAATTTGGCTTTGAAGTCTAACCCCACCCTTCCAATTCACCTGACCAAGCACCCTCGGACTTCTACCTATTTCCTAAACTGAAGTTCCACTTACGTGGTCAACGTTTTTATGGTAATGATCACGTCATCAGTGCGGGTGAGCCCTATCTGGGGGCTCCAGATTCAACCTTCTTCCACAAGGGGAAGACAAATCTGGAACATCACTGGACCAAGTGCATTGCAGTTAGAGGGGACTATGTTGAAACATAGTGTAAGAAAATGTTTTCTGCCACGACGTTTTCTAGGTGAGGCCGAGAACTTTTTGATCCACCCTCGTATATCTGTTTGTCTGGACAGCATGTGGGTGTGGGGAAGATTGACAGGCAGAATGACCGTAGGTCAAAGATCTCAGGATCTAGCCAGGAGCCAGCAGGTCGACATTGGAAAACTCAAGAAACCAATGATTGCAGACAATCTGTACTTTCCAGACATCTGAAGACATGTTAGTTAGTTAGTTAGTGATTGGTTTATTGAAAAGAACAAAGAACATATCAGACTTGCAGTAAAAACTGAATTGTGCTGATATTTATAACTTACACATTTGTAGGATTATACAATACTAGTAGATATAAGAGGGCAACTTACACTTGTAATATACTAAATTTATAAAAACCATCGTCGTCATCATATTATTATAGCAATATAAGTAAAACAATATAATTTCTCACGAGTAAGATCACTACTGTCATTCTACATTAAAATGACTGAAAGTCTTTGAAGTTTTAAAAGTTAGTCTGGTACGAGCGCTAAGGATATGTACAGTTGGCGGTAAGAATTCGATTTGACACGATAAACAATCAATAGTACTGAGATTAGGGTCCAACCCGATTAAAAATTCAGTTAAGAAGTTTATAGTCCGACCTGGAGTTTTGCTAGTGCAGGGATCGCACTGGTTGTGTAGCGCTTAGTGCCCTTGGCCTGGCAGTAATGGAGAGAGTTCCTTAGCGATCTACCGTGTAGTTGTCCTTTAGTCGATGGCAGCCAGGAGCGGAAACGTGACGATTGATTTTGGTTGCAAAGTTAGTGATGGCCTAGCATAATCCTACAGGCCCGTTTTTGAACCCGTTCAAGCCGGTTGACTTGCATATATAGACCTGTTTAAAGTTAAAACTTTTGATCCAACACAAAAAATTCTCTCACCTAGAGCACCAAGCTCTAGGTGTATACATGTACATGTAACTACCAACACAGATGAACTTTCATGACATATATAGACCTCTTTATCATCTGATACGTGGTTCATTTAGTAAAATGTATGGGTCCCTAACTCTGAAGTTTTTGAAGATGGCGCGGGATCCAGACAAGCCACTGTACAGCATCTACCGACAGCCTTATGTACAATGTACATGTATGTATACAATGTTACCTGGCCATTGACAAGCTGTCAATATAAAAAAACATACATCGATGGGGAATTTCATAATTGGAACATGTGTAAATTAATCAAAGTTAACATCATGTTTATTATGTTAATTTAGAGGTCATTTGCATGATTAAAGAATAAATTTACATGTACATGTCAAGCCCATATTTCATGGGGGTATGAACTCTCAGAACTCTTGTTTGCAGCTTGTCATACTGTACCGAAATCGCACCACCTCAGACTATACAGGAAAAAAAGATGGTATTATACATGTATACATATAAGGTGATGATGTGAAGATTTGGTAACAAAAGGTTGAACCTGACGCATTATTCCAAGCACAGAACATGAATGACATGAAAATCCCATTTCAGTTTGCTGTCTAGAACTCCAAGGTATTTAAAAGCTGGAACTACTTCAAGGGGGTTTCCATTCATTCATGCTTGTAATTGGTCTTTTCCCCTAAGCCGATGCCTTGTGCCAATAAGCATGGCTTTGCACTTCTTGGCATTCACAGAGACAATTAGCCAAAAACCATTGATGAAGATGGTCCATATCAGACTGAAGAGCCCTTTGTATGGTTTCAGAATCAGGATGGCTGAAGCATACCTCAGTGTTATCAGCATATAACTACAAGGCAATTTTGCTGTATGCATTTTGGCATATCATTTACGTACATTATAAACAAAAGCGGTCCGAAAATGGTGCCTTGAGGCACAACACTTAGCCTACAGAAATTAGATGTTTGTGCATTAACAGTTACCGGTATGCAGTGATTGGAAGGTTTTAAAAGGTCATCACTTGTTTTCACAGATTTTAGAGGCTGCACCCTTGTTGGAATCTTTTGGAAATGCCAAGACAGTCAAGAATGACAACTCTAGTCGTTTTGGCAAATACCTGGAACTGCAATACACAAAGTAAGTTCCTTCAACTTAAACTTCCTGTGATTAGCAGGATTAGCAATTACATTTTACAGAAGGCAAGGATTTTTTTTCTGGAAATTTTGTTGACTCAATTCTGTGTTGCCTTTCAATGGGTATTGTTGCTGTATATTATTATTTATTGATAATGATACAAAAGTCATGTCATTGTTTGGGCACAGACAAACTCAGCTGGTGATGGCTGACCAACAAAAAGTACAGGCACAATACAAAATGTAGAAGGAATCAGAGATTCCAAACCTCAGGGAAGTATATAACGCATGATGATCACAACGACTGAAACTTTCAGCAATGTTAAGAGCAACACTTATATATATGTATACAAGAAAAAGATGTCACAAACATAATTCACAATACAGCATACGTTTTCTGGAAGTCGTGTGGTGTAAGTGCCATCATCTTGCACCTAACATCAAAACACCTGTTGTGTAACAAACAGGTCAGCAACCACTTCGCATGCCTGTATTCTATGAAAACAATCTCCAAGAAGGTCATGTTTGTTATCATTGCTGTTGCTGTAGGTCTGGAGCATTTGTTGAAAATTTTTTGAAGGTGGATAACTCAAGAACCTGTTGACAGATCATGGTGATTTTAGTATGTAGGTAGCTTAATTGATGCTTGACATACAATGTAATCAAATGCAATCCTTCCTCTGGAGGCAATAAGTAATCTGTAGAAGACATTCCGTGTATGATGCACGATTTTTTACTGTATGTGCATCTTTTTATTGCCTTTCACACTAAAATATGATATTATGAGATATGACAGTGTCAAATGTTAGTTCTGCCTTAAGCCCCTGTCAAGCATTCAGGACTTTTCCACACATATATATATAGCCCCTGACCACTACCAAACCAAGCGGACTCTACTCTCAGTTGGGAATAGCCTGGAATCCATCCATCCAGCCCCAGTTTTCATCCTGTAACGATGCACATTCAAGCACAATTTTACTTTCTTGACTTTTTACAAGTGCTTGGGAGGCAGACACAACACAATACAACCTTGCCGACCAACTCTCAACCAGAGATGACCTTGTTTACAACTACATGTTCATGTTCTAGAGAAGATTGGCAATGGGTGGCCATGGTTAGAGGAATTAGTTTACCGTAAGGCCACACCAATTTAATTTCTTGGTTAACGGATTTTTCTAGAAAAATAATGAAGCGGGCGGGCGAAAAAAAAATAAAAATAAAAACAGGCCTAGGCATCCTATTATGGCCCAAAATGGTACGATAGGAGCCATGAAGTCAACACACCAGGCTGGTTCAAAATCTAAACAATGAATTTTGAACTTTTAATGATACTCCTGCATTGAAAGATGGAATAACTGTAACAACTAGGAAGAAAAGGACTGTTTTCAACTGTTCAGGGCAAAATATGAGCATTTTGCAGTTGATTCTGAATTTTTATTTTTATTTGCAAATCAGAAAAAAATGAAGCGGCGAATCCGTTAACCAAGAAATTAAATTGGTGTGGCCTAATGGTTTTTTGTATCGAATGCAGGATTGCTTCAGGCACTGGTAGAAAATCAAGGAATTCCCAGGCCAAACCTAGCCTTTTTCCCTTGCCATAGAAATATCTATTATTATATTGATAATAACTTGTACACATCAGGACCATATATATGAGTGATGTTGTGTTCTATAATATTTGACTCTTGTGTTACCACAGTGGTGTCATCACAGGTGCAAAGACAACTGACTACCTGCTGGAGAAGTCCAGGATAGTTAGTCAGGTAATTTTCATTTTACAACAGTTAAAATGAATTTATATATAGTGACTAGTAAAAAATTATTTTTTCCAAGAGAGTCCTGAAGATGTTAACAATAGTGTCCTTGAGTTTGGTACATGTAACAATAACTTGGAGAAAAAAATGTTAAAGGAGTACTAACCTCCAGAAGGGGGTGCTATATTCCGACAGGCATTAATTTTAGGAAGTGAAAAATGCATATTACTTTACAGTATACAATTAAATGCCCATTTTGCGCGCAAGTCTTAAAACACATCGAATCCAGGACAAACTCTCCAAAAACCCTCAAAACTATCCCAGAATACAACACGCTACCCCATTGGTATCTATGTTTTAAACAAAAAGTTACGTTACAGACCTTATTTCGGGGACTGTAAGAAAAGTTTGTACAGTTTTGTATTCTTTGGTATCTTACCAACCATTGCCCTTCTTGATGTCCTTATCGCCCCTCATTTATGCCGAAAAAATTGATGATGAAAAAAACGGTGTAATCTAGTTATCTTATCCATAAGTGGCGTAATCTAATTATCTGTTCAATTAATACTTACATGCAAATAAGTTGAGAAAGCACGCAGGATGACACTGGCGATCACTGCATTAGACATCCTGATAAATATAGTATTCAAGCCACAGGTGAAGCAAAGTAAAGCAAGTAATTTCTCAATAATCGGCTTGTTAGTGTGCTTGTCTCCTACCATTTTCGCTGAAAAATGTTTATGTTGACTTGACGCGTATGAATATTGCGTAAGCCAGAGTTCCCGAATGTATTGATTGCGGTTCAGCATGGGGGAAAATTGATATTGATATCGCTTTACAAACATGCGCCGCGCAAGTACAGAATTATGTAAAAAGTCTGCTAGTTATGTATTCATTGCAGCATGATGTATCGGAAAATAGCACTCCCTTCTGGAGGTTAGAAACTCTAAGTACCCATAGAAACTCTAAGTACCCATAGAAACTCGAAGTACCCATAGAAACTCGAAGTATACACACAGGAAAAAAATTGTACTTATGGTCTTTCGTAGAATTTCGTAGAAACCACCGGACTGCTTTTTCCACCCCCAAATCGGACCGGACTGCTTTTTCCGCCAATCGGACTGGACTCCTTTTTCCACCAACCCTTGGTCCAGGCCCTAGTAATCATGCATTAATTTTGTTGTTTACTGCAGGCTCCATATGAGAGGAACTACCACATTTTCTATGAGATGCTGGCTGGTATGACAGAAGCAGACAAGAACAAGTATGGCCTCCAGCAGGCACAGTCTTACTACTATCTCAACCAGGTAAGGAAAACAGCCAGAAAGTCAACATCTTAGCTGGTGTGTTACACCAAAGTGCGGTTATACCGGCTATACAGGTACAGATATTTGATGAAATGTAGATTTTAAAAATATTTTATATTTTCGTCATGGTAACGGTATAGCCCAATATTGATATTAGTAAGTAGAATAAAATAAATCAACTTTTGTGCTGGTTTTATTTTGGATTCGTGGTTTTTATACTGCATACCATTAACTATTACCTTCTCCAACAAGGTTATGTTTTCAGTAGCGTTTGTCCGTCCGTCTGTCCGTCCGTCTGTCTGTCCGTTGTTCTGGAACTGCGGGAGCGTTTGTTGAAAAAAGTTCAAAAGAGGATAACTCATAAACCAGTTGATGGATTGTCATCATTTTTGGTATGTGGGTAGCTGAAGTGATGCTCAACATAACCAGATGATTATTATGCAAATCAGGAGCTAATTTGCATAATTAATGAGGAAATTCTATAAATCTGCTTTTTTCGATAATAGGACTATGAAACACTTGTGACATGTAATTGAGAATGAGAAAAAAACATCTTAGGATATAGATTATGTAAATGAAGACCTAATCTGCATAATTTATGGGAATTTTTATAATTGTCATAGTTGTAACTGCTGGGAATTTTATACTTGCCACATTTGGAAGTTAAGTGAAGGTGAACATCAATAAACAATGATTTAATTCAAATCCTGACCTCATTTGCATAATTTATGAGGAAGTGCTATAATAGCCTTTTTGTTAGGATAAGGCTATCATTGGGTGGAGAATATGATCAACTGGCATAATTCATGCAAATGAGGCTCTAATTTGCGAAATCATTGATTAAAATTGTATAACCCGTCAACCGCAAGGGTTCACATCATTTGGCGAAGGTATGAGGTCGTGGAACTCTTGTTCTTAATGTCACAAATACTCCCTCATACTCCGGTTTTGTATTTTCTACTGATACTATAAGACTGGGGAATGCCTAGTTTCAACTGCAAACTTTAAACACTGTGAGGATGGCCTTTTCCTTTGTACTGTGAAATAACAGCACTGAAAAAGTAAATTCATTTAATTTTATTTACTTAGTGGGCTTCACCATTGCAATGGTAGAACATAATGTCACCCTCGGGCCGGTAGCACCTTAAAGTTAGAAGGTTATGTTTTCAGAGGCGTTCGTGTGTGTGTCTGTGTGTGTGTCTGTAAACACGATAACTCAAGAAGGCTTAAATGGACTGTCTTGATACTTGGTAGGTGGGTAGGTCTTCAGGTTTTTGATATCTCAGGATCTGGACGTGCTAGGGTCATGAAATTTGGATGATAGGTAGGTCTTGTGCTTGGGAAGAAGTGCTTGCTCAGGAACTGCAGGGGCATTTCTTTAAAAACATTCAAAAGATGATAAGTCAAGAATCGGTTAACGGATCGTCATGATTTTTGGCATGTCGGAGATCTCATGTCTTCATCAGAGGGACATTGTGCTAGATATTAAAACAAACGTTTTTTAATACTAGAAATCAATTTGGTCATTCAACATCTATTTAAATATACTCGAGTTATTTTGCTCACAAACCACAAGCACAAAAGGTCCACTGCAGTGACATACGAACTCTCCATGAAGCCCAAATTTGCACTTGACGTTGGCCTCAACAACAGTAATTTGCCTGCTAAAAATCATGGATGTCGAATCATGCCTTCAGAAGTTATTCCGCTAAATCCGCAGTCAACTACAATACGGCGAGACAATTCCATAGTCTTTCTGACGAAGACAATAACCTTATTATTCTGGGGAGAACATACATGTACCTCCATTAGCATGACTAAACATTGTTTTATATACATGTATGTCATGTTCAGAGTGTTCAATAAGAAACCTGACTGTGTAATTCATCAGTTGTAAACTTAAGGTTGATGTTATTTGGTGAAGGTATGAGGTTGTAGAGCTCATTGTTATGACATTGTCTGTGTGACAGGGAGGCAATCCCACTATACCATCCAAGAATGATGGTGAGGACTTTAGTGGTATCCTGGCAGCATTAGATGTGCTGGGGCTTCACTGCAGATGAGACAGACACTGTGTTCTCTATTGTAGCTGCTGTTCTACATCTTGGCAATGTCTATTTCGGCAGGACTGAGGTAAGAATATTTTATTTATCATGTAGAATTAATAAAGGCTGAGTCTAGTACTTACAAGCCAGGCCTCTTTGTAGCCTTAACTTTTTTATCTCTCTTGCCAATTTTTACCTCCATGAAAAATGGAGGTATTGTTTTTGGCGCGTCTGTGTGTGTGTGTCTGTGTGTGTGTTTGTGTTTCCACACATTTGTAGTCAGCATAACTTCATAACGCCTTTATGGATTGTGATGATATTTGGTATGCTGGTAAGGAAGACGAAGGTCAAGGTCAAATATGGGCCTCCTGGTGGATGATCTTGGTACTGCAGCAGAACGTCCTGTTTTTGTATCTTTTGTCCTGAACATGCTATGGTCTTGAATTTTTGGTGACAGATACCTTTTCAATAAGTGGTGTGGGTTTGGTCCCCCTAGCAGCTTGTTCTGGAACGGCAGGGGGACCTTCGGGCGAAATCTTTGAAAGCCAGTAAGTCCAGATAGGAACAACGTATTTTCATCATTTTTGGTAGGTAGGTACACAATGTAGCTGAGAGAGAGATGTACATTATTAAGGTTCCGGGTCGGAGTACTAGTTTAAATCTGACCAGAGTCTAAGTAAGTGCGCAGTAAATCGCCGGAAACGTGACTTTGAATGGTATGTTTTGGCCGCGATATCCCTGAAATCGTAATATCTGTGTACATATATTTGTATTTTCTGAAAAGCCTGTTAGTTGTAGCCTTTATAGGTGGCGTAATGTTGGTGGTCCAGCGAAGACTTCCTGGCATTTGTCCGCGCGGATGATTATGTGGCGTTTTCGCCTGACCGCCGGGATGGTACGTTCTATATGCGTTGTGGGTGTGTTCGGGCCATCGAAGATAGCGATAAACTTATCGCATCGATTTTGATTAAATTCAAATTTTGGAAACACTAGGTTCTGAGTCTTCTTTGAGTACTAAGCGTTACCCTGGGAAAATTCGTTTTTTCCATACAGCCATGGTTAAAAATGACGAAAAAAATGACCCCTTATTTAAAAATGTACTTTGATGTGCCTTATTTACCCCTAAATAAATTGGGCGCAGAAAATATCAATGAAGTGTGTTGATAAGCGGCACGGCACCCCTTTCCACCAAAAGAGTGAAAAATTCCGACCCGCGTTTAGTACAGAAATGACAGCCCGTCGGGCTGAGGGTGTCAAATTGCTCGAAATACGGAAGGAAACTCCGGTCCGAGACCTTAAGAAGACGGCGCATGCGCAGAAAATGACGTCATCGCTGACGTAAATTCGATTGATTTAAATGTTTCCAGCCGAAGCTGTCAGATTCTGAAAAAAAAACGCATCATTTTACTGTTTTGGGGTCCAAAAGTCCGGATATGTATGTCGGGTCCTAGGCGCCCCCCCCCCCCGAATCTCCGTGAAGGGCAATTTTAATCGTTTCTGGACGATAAAATGTTCTCAAATGAATTCATTTTTTATGTCATTTCATGTGAGTCGACCTCTAAATTTGACTTCCACATAACTTCGGCCAAGTCTCTCCATTTATGGTGACTACAACAGACATTTTACAGCAAAATTCGAGTGTTTTAGGCCTATTTAAGGCAAAACTAGGTTTTCTGATTTTCGGTTCAGGGCTGCTTAAAATCGCGAACTTCTTTTCGTTGGCTGGTGTTAAGTGATAGCCTAATAAGTACTTCAAGCAACTTTGCAACATTTATTTCAACTACTCGCTCCTAGCTACGGCAGCATCACCCAGATTGTGTTTTGCGCCTTGTAGAACGCAGTTTTTCACACATTTAAGGTGCGCTGTGCTACTTAATAGGCCATTCACGGCAAAGTAGTGAAGAGTTTGGTGTCGGACTCGTTTGATTCGGAAAGTGTGGACTCAGTTCTATCACCTAAGGTCAAAATCTGACGTATTCTTCATTTTAATGTAAAGCGGTGAAGCAAAAACGCGACCCCCTGCTGTTAAACTTGGACAACGCATGACGTCACTGCGTGACGTCATCGATCCCAACTTTACAAGAGGTTTTCCGCAAGTATGCAGCACAGAAAGGACGATAAAACCACATCTATCCCTAGCCAAGGACCAGAGCGGGCGTTTCCTTCCGTTTTAACTGATTTGAGAAAAGCGAAAACCCCCAAAAAACGGTACTTTTTAATTTCTCCATTGTAATGCTGCCTAGGGGCCGCGTCTTGGCAAAAGTAGCCATAGAACACAGTGTTTTTCACATGACTTTAAACCGCTGCCGCGGGAAAAGTATCGCATACAAGCCAAATTTGGATATATGATAGATATAATGTTTCTGAAGAATATTAAAATTTTTTAATGAAAATTAATCTCCTTAAGGTTCCGGGTCGGAGTTTAAATCTGACCAGAGTCTAAGTAAGTGCGCAGTAAATCGCCGGAAACGTGACTTTGTATGGTATGTTTTGGCCGCGATATCCCTGAAATCGTAATATCTGTGTACATATATTTGTATTTTCTGAAAAGCCTGTTAGTTGTAGCCTTTATAGGTGGCGTAATGTTGGTGGTCCAGCGAAGACTTCCTGGCATTAGTCCGCGCGGATGATTATGTGGCGTTTTCGCCTGACCGCCGGGATGGTACGTTCTACATTGTATATGCGTTGTGGGTGTGTTCGGGCCATCGAAGATAGCGATAAACTTATCGCATCGATTTTGATTAAATTCAAATTTTGGAAACACTAGGTTCTGAGCTTCTTCGAGTACTAAGCCGTTACCCTGGGAAAATTCGTTTTTTCCATGCAGCCATGGTTAAAAATGACGAAAAAAATTACCCCTTATTTAAAAATGTACTTTGATGTGCCTTATTTACCCCTAAATAAATTGGGCGCAGAAAATATCAATGAAGTGTGTTGATAAGCGGCACGGCACCCCTTTCCACCAAAAGAGTGAAAAATTCCGACCCGCGTTTAGTACAGAAATGACAGCCCGTCAGGCTGAGGGTGTCAAATTGCTCGAAATACGGAAGGAAACTCCGGTCCGAGACCTTAAACGCAAATTATGCAAATGAGGACTTTATTTGCATAATTAATGAGGAAATTCTATAATTACAGTGTTTTACATTATAGTACTTTCATACATGTAATGTATGTAACCTATGGCAGATACTTTGCCATGAATGGCCTATTAAGTAGCACAGCGCACCTTAAATGTGTGAAAAACTGCGTTCTCACAAGGCGCAAAACACAATCTGGGTGATGCTGCCGTAGCTAGGAGCGAGTAGTTGAAATAAATGTTGCAAAGTTGCGTGAAGTACTTATTAGGCTATCACTTAACACCAGCCAACGAAAAGAAGTTCGCGATTTTAAGCAGCCCTGAACCGAAAATCAGAAAACCTAGTTTTGCCTTAAATAGGCCTAAAACACTCGAATTTTGCTGTAAAATGTCTGTTGTAGTCACCATAAATGGAGAGACTTGGCCGAAGTTATGTGGAAGTCAAATTTAGAGGTCGACTCACATGAAATGACATAAAAAATGAATTCATTTGAGAACATTTTATCGTCCAGAAACGATTAAAATTGCCCTTCACGGAGATTCGGGGGGGGGGGGCGCCTAGGACCCGACATGTATATCCGGACTTTTGGACCCCAAAACAGTAGAATGATGCGGGGTTTTTTTCTAGAATCTGACAGCTTCGGCTGGAAACATTTAAATCAATCGAATTTACGTCAGCGATGACGTCATTTTCTGCGCATGCGCCGTCTTCTTAAGGTCTCGGACCGGAGTTTCCTTCCGTATTTCGAGCAATTTGGCACCCTCAGCCCGACGGGCTGTCATTTCTGTACTAAACGCGGGTCGGAATTTTTCACTCTTTTGGTGGAAAGGGGTGCCGTGCCGCTTATCAACACACTTCATTGATATTTTCTGCGCCCAATTTATTTAGGGGTAAATAAGGCACATCAAAGTACATTTTTAAATAAGGGGTCATTTTTTTCGTCATTTTTAACCATGGCTGTATGGAAAAAACGAATTTTCCCAGGGTAACGGCTTAGTACTCAAAGAAGCTCAGAACCTAGTGTTTCCAAAATTTGAATTTAATCAAAATCGATGCGATAAGTTTATCGCTATCTTCGATGGCCCGAACACACCCACAACGCATATAGAACGTACCATCCCGGCGGTCAGGCGAAAAACGCCACATAATCATCCGCGCGGACAAATGCCAGGAAGTCTTCGCTGGACCACCAACATTACGCCACCTATAAAGGCTACAACTAACAGGCTTTTCAGAAAATACAAATATATGTACACAGATATTACGATTTCAGGGATATCGCGGCCAAAACATACCATTCAAAGTCACGTTTCCGGCGATTTACTGCGCACTTACTTAGACTCTGGTCAGATTTAAACTCCGACCCGGAACCTTAATAATGTACATCTCTCTCTCAGCTACATTGTGTACCTACCTACCAAAAATAGATGAAAATACGTTGTTCCTATCTGGACTTACTGGCTTTCAAAGATTTCGCCCGAAGGTCCCCTGCCGTTCCAGAACAAGCTGCTAGGGGGACCAAACCCACACCACTTATTGAAAAGGTATCTGTCACCATTCTTAATTTTGAGGTTGCATTTATGGTGCAATGTTGCAGTTTTCTGTCCATGATTTACCCATCTTTTGATCTTGTATGTGATTGATTTTGCAGGAAGAAATAGCAACAGTGATTAGCCAATCAGAGTTGAGGGTAGTAGCAGAGCTTTTGCAGCTACCCTTTGATGGACTTCATTCTGCAGTCACAGCAAACTAACGGTCAGTGTTACATGAACAGTACACGGTGGCAACATTCTGTTCCAAGTTTGCTTCCTATACTAGCTTCTTGATGATGACAAGTGAGTATGGATGTGAACACTTGTTACTAGCACCAGTCCTTAATTATTGCATGTTATCAATGATGGTGTCGGAGTTTATGTCAGAGACAGCCTCCCGTCAAGTCTCCTCGACATCTCTGTTCCTGACGTGGTCGACTGCTTGTGGGTAGGGTCAAGGCCCAAAGGTACTGAATGGAATGTATTGTGCAGTGGACATATGTGCAGTGTATTCCCAACCCAACATGGCTCACAAAGAGTTACTCGTTGACTGCCTCGGGTTGGCGTAACAAAACACGCAAGCCACAAGCTGCGCCAAGTTGTAAACCTACCTACACAGGCCAAGTCACCCTGTATCTCCTCATCACTAACCTGTCATCACATTACTCACCTCCAACCATCTTACCTCTGTTAGCATCTACATTGTCATACCATAGTGAACCTTCGACCCAAAGCATAGATCTGTGATCAACAAGACCTATCAAAGACTCAGCTTTGTGACTTTTTGGGCAGTGGATTGTAAGGAGCCCGCCCTATCACTATAATTGTCGTCGACAGCAGATCACAGTAATGAAGAGTGACATATCTGTAATGAGCACAACACGACTAACAACCGGCGTAGAGGGAGGAACCCCGGTTTTGAGGAAATAAAAGAGGGAAAATTGTAGCAACTTTTCCAGCTCAGGGCTAACCGGGGGTTTTCCCTGAAGTCTGCGGAGTAGAATGGGGAACTACCTTCACAACAACCGTTACTCAGCGCCTTCAGCAGAATAAACCTGTCCTGTCACAACGAACTGTGCCTCCCCTCGACCTCACACAGAGCTTACAGGATTACATCACACCGCTACCACCGCCTGCAAATCCCATGCTTTGTATGCAACACTCCAGGTTAATACTTACAATGTACCATTTCATCTCGTTGAAGGTCTCTTGTTCACAGCTAACAGCTGGGAAGGAAGGATCGCTCCACCTGGAAACACTTCAGAAACACTTAAGGAACAAATTTCAAGGAAGGTCAAGGCCTTAAAAAAGTCGTACTACAGTAGTCCACTGAAGCAAAATCTAAGAAGGACAATGCCGCAGAGTGGCACAAGGAGATTAAATCCATGATAAACTATCTTGTTTCAAACCTGTAATTGACCATAGGTACCTGCTAGGTACCATTATGGAACTTGACCTTTACCCATCCACCAAAACAACTATCCTCACCTTCATGAGATGCTCTTAACATACCAAAACATAAACAGCCCGCTACAGCATCGTACGATCATGACAACTTAACCATATTCCAGCTTGATCTATGTGCACCTCTCCACATCCGCTACTTACCTACCCAGTATCATTATGATTCATTCACAGATTCACAAGTTACTCTGTACTCAAAAAGCAACAATTCATGAAAGTCTTCTGAAGTACTGTTGGAAAATACTGTTTTCAGCCTTGTGTTACGTTTCTACAACCACTAACCACCTACAAAAAATAATTAAGATCCATCCACAGCTTCTTGAGTTGTGCTGCTCAGGCAGCTGCTGACAAACATACAGACCCACATCATGGCCAAACCCGAAACATAACCTTCTTGGTGAAGGTAAATATGTCTCAATCCGAATCATTGTCCTGACGCAATTCAGCTGTTCTGGCTGCAATGTTTGTGACAATGAACACGGAAACCTGACCTTCCCATGTCACCAGCCTGAGCCTGTATGTAAAGTGGTCCTAAGCATGAAAATTCATGAAGAAATGTTAGAAGAAAAGACTTTGTTGATCTCAGAATTTTTTTTGTCCACAGTCTTTATGATTTAGTAATTTCATTTATTATCTATATTGTGCACTTTCCATAATATTGCATATCAAGTTGAAAACAGATGAATTGTCCTACTAATGACAGTGTTTGCCAGGACACATTTCTGATCACTTTTTGATCAGGTTTTGGATCTTCAAAGGAATCTTTTTGTTACGTCAGGAATTAGTTCATGTGGCTGATGTTAGTAGTTTGTCGTGCCAAGTTGACACAGTTTTTAATTTAAGAATTGTAACTTTGCAGATTTTTAGTAGACTAAGTGTTATTCTGTCATATTTTTTGTGTAGGAAGCACATGGAGAAAAGATTTATTCATCCTACAGTGTGGAACAAGCTTTGGAAGCAAGGTACAGATTGAAATACAGTCATGTAGAACTAATGACAGGATAGTCAAAGAGTGGAAATCCAGTGCTGGTAACCTTACATGTACATGTACATGTATATCAGTCAGGACTTTCAAGGTTGAAAAACTGTTTTTCACTTTTCCCATATTTTGGTCCAGCCCCCGTTCCAGCCCCAGAGCAAAGAAATTTAAGTCCCTCAACAAATTTATGTTGGTGGAAAAACTAGACTTGTAGATTGTTTGAAGAGTTAAATTAATAACGAGAGGGGTCCTAATTCCGACCTATGTTCCATGCAAATGCACATACCTTTGGTAATAGTTTGTCTGACCAAAAACCCGCACAATATAACATTGACAGATAAGATCACAACGATTAAAGCTGCACAGCTGTGTATTTCACTTGAGTGTAGCGCCTTGCACCCAAGCGTAATGGTTCACGAAACTTACGGCAGGTTTTTGGTCATTTTGCTGGTGGAACATTTATCGCAATAGGGGTGCCCTAATTCTGACCTAGCGTTTAACACAGGTCGATCTGAGAAGAGAGTTTAGACATTATAATACACAAATTAGGCCATGTTGATTTGATTATATGGATGACATCCTCTGGGAACCCCAAAACTGATGCGCACGGGCGAATTAAAAAAAAGTTTTGAAAAAAAAAAAGTTGCTTTCACTATGAAATCTACGTGGTCATGAAGGTTGAACAAATGGCACAGAATATGTTATGGCGAATAATCTACTCTTCGAATTCATTTCTTTATATTTTTGTCTTTTTTCCTTTGATTTTGGCATTCTACGACATTGGTATCGTTTCTAAATGTTTTCCTTGCAACATATGGTATATTTTTGCTCATTTAGCAACTGTTTTGCACGATTTACAGTATGGTTGAAAACTTTTTTTTTTTGGAAACGGCCGAAAATTCATGCGCGCGCGGATGTCATCCATATAATCAAATCAACATGGCCTTATGACTAAAACAATCTACAACTGTTTTTCTGTCCCAAACAAGTCTTCTTTTTACGATTACATGACTTGCTCCAAAGCAGCTGTTTGAAAAGCAAAACCAGCATTTTTGACACGCTCGTCAACCCCCGAACAAGCGTCAAATTCAAACAGATTTTTCACTCGTCTGTTGTCCGAGTGCACAAACTAAAACAAACTTTGTGAGATTACCGATCAAACTTTGTGAGATCAACACAAAAACTTTGTCCATTCTTGTGGTTATTTTTAGGCACGTGCTTCCATGCATAACGCCGCAACAAGGATTTTTCAAACTAGTACGGAATTAGGGGTAGGTCGGAATTAGGGCACCCCCGTTAGTTTCTGGATGTTTCATAATTCTGGATGCATGATGAGGTAGAAAGTGAACGACTTACATGTGCACCATTCAATGATTATAGGGATGCCATAGCAAAATCGTTGTACCAGAGGCTGTTTGTGTGGCTGGTGGAGAGAGTCAACAGGACTGTGTACAGGCAGTCTGAGAGGAGATGCAGGACCATCGGCATTCTGGACATCTTTGGTTTTGAGGTATGGATGAAAATATTGCAGTCTTCTTTCAAAGTTAACGATCCTTTAAGTCTAAGTCTTGCATCAAAATTATCAAAGTACAGAATGTCAACTTGAGGCAAAACCAACAACTTTAACAAAGAGTATGTGAAACAGAAACAGAACAAATGAATTTAGATACCTGGTGTCAATATTCAACTTTATGAAGAAGTAAATTTTGTGCCAGATTTAATCTGGACAAGTTGTTTTTTCCGTCATTTGTTTTATAAAAATTGATGGATCCTAAGCTGTACTTTGGGAATCTTGCGTGTGGAAATACACATGTGTCAATCTCTTCAATGCATGTGGAGTTGGCAAATTCTGTGTATTCCCTCCATAATTCCCAGGTTGGCACACCAGGCACACACCTATCCCCCATGTTGGCAGCACACCTGGCACACACGTGTATCCCTTCCCCTATCCCCATGTTGGCAGCACACCTGGCACACACGTGTATCCCTTCCCCTATCCCCATGATGGCACACCTGGCACACACGTGTATCCCTTCCCCTATCCCATGTTGGCAGCACACCTGGCACACACGTGTATCCCTTCCCCTATCCCATGTTGGCAGCACACCTGGCACACACGTTTATCCCTTCCCCTGTCCCGTGTTGGCAGCACACCTGGCACACTACGTTTTTCTTCCCCTATCCATGTTGGCACACCTGGCACACACGTGTACTCCCTTCCCTATCCCATGTTGCACACCTGGCACACGTGTACACTAAACAATTTATAAAGAACTATACCTACTTTTTGTTTTTTTGTAACCTCATGTATACCTTGATTCCTGAATAGACAAAAATTATGCACAGTCCATCTTTCATTTAGGTCTCTAGTCAAATGGTCAGCTGATTGTATGTACACGTAATAATTTCACATGGTTCTTGCCTTTTGTCCTTTGATATATGTTGGAAATCATATCATACTGAAGCATGTTATATGTACATGTATGTATAGCTTTGCAGCCAATGTTTTATTGCCCTCCAGGACTTTGATGTCAACAGCTTTGAACAACTTTGTATCAACTTTGCCAATGAAAAACTTCACGACCACTTCAACAGACATATATTCAAGTTAGAGCAGGTAAATGTTCAATTTACAGGAAATGGTTGGTTATGTTAGTTCTGTGCACAACAGTGATAACATTGTGAATGAAACAAATGAAACATTTTTAAAAGAGATCTGTTGGTCGAATAGTAGCTGGGATTTAAGAATT